CAGTATTCTCTTTGAGAAGCTGTACTCTTGTGGAATTCGCAACCCATTACTGAACTGGTTAAAATCATTTCTAAGCAACAGGGTACAAATAACCAAAGTTGGATCTGTATTGTCTCATCCTAGGCAGATCTCAAGTGGGGTCGTGCAAGGTAGTGTCCTAGGTCCACTTTTATTCACAGTCTACATTAACAGCATTTGCAAGTGCTTCACCTCAGGTAAACCATTCCTATATGCTGACGACCTCAAAGTCGTCTACTCCTGCTACACTCATGAATTAAGCGATATGGTTACTAAAATACATCTTGAACTAAGTAGCCTCGCAACATGGTGTGCTGAATCCTGTCTAAATTTTAACATTGACAAATGCGGCTGGATTTGTATCGGCAACAGTAACCTTGATCTAACTCTTGAAATAAATGGGCGAAAACTAGCTAAGCTCAACTCAGTCGTAGATCTCGGTATTAGATACTCTAGTAACCTAACGTTCGCTGAACAGACTGATTATGCCAGACGTAAAACGCGAAGGCTGATAGGATGCATAACACGCAATTTCTTTTGTTGTGAAACTAGGGTTTTATTATACAAAGTATGTGTCCGACCTATCTTAGAATACTGCCCGTTTATTCTTAGCGGACTAAGACAAAATGACAAGCTTAAATTAGAGGGAGTGCAACGGCAGTTTACCTCAAGAACTCTTGGTTTAGAAAGTGGTCTGGAATACCATGAGCGATGCGAAGACTAAGATTAGAACCCCTCTGGAAAAGACGCCTTAAGCTAAACCTTATCTTTTACTATAAGCTAACTAATCTTCTCTTGCATTCCTCCGAGCCAATAACTAAACCTACCTGTCATCAGTTACAATCTTAGAAATCATCACAACCTAGCTGCTATGGAGCACTGTCAGACTTACGTGCGGTACAACTTCTTCTTAAATAAGTTTTCAGTCATTTGGAATAGACTACCAGCTAATGTGCGCGATGCAAACACACTTCCAGTGTTCATCTCCTCAGTCACCAGACTGCTCAAAGATGACAATGCACTTTACGCCTGACTCTTACACCTTTTTTCACCCTACATAGATATTTTAAGTTCTTTAAACGTGTAGTTACAACAAACTACAATTATAAATTTTAATATTATTGGAACTAGATGATAACATTTCTACACAGGACAGTAATATTAGTTCACACATAATATAAAAGTTAGCATAACGGGACTAGTTAGTTTGTGTACCAAAATAACCACAGTTACTAAACAGAATATATATGTATATATTTATTAATCACTCCTTAAGGACTCCCGTTGCTTTCTTTTGCGTTGCTGTTGTTTGTCTTCTTTTTCTCTCACCATTTCAGCTTCCATTTGACTTTTTGAATGAGAATGAATAATGTGGATATTTGACCATTTACAATGACAAATGATCTGCAAACATTATTGGTCCCGTATCTTTCAGTTGCCTGGTTAATAACGAATTAACTTTCTCCACGACGCAACCTGGATTACATTTGTGGAATATACTCTTATACCAATGGAAAAGTATCAATTTGTAATACAACGTCACGATTGTAGCTTATAACATAACTGATCGTATCTGTAAAAATAGCTTCCTTATTACCCAATTTGGATATAAATCAAAAATAGATTCGGATTTGTACACACCCAAGTTATATTGAGGAATTACTTCAAGCTTTATTTTTTCCCAAGTATTTAATCCATCCAAAACATACTTGGGTTTTTTTGTTAATGCGAAGTCAATATTCCATATTTCATGATGCGCTCATTGAATGACTGGTTATCATATTGTTCCCACAAACCAAAGACAAAAACGTCAGCAACCATGTAATTTAACCATAAACCAATTTATGAAATTTAAATAATAAGAATATGTAAATCAGAAGATAGTTTTCAATGCAAAGTTTCACTATAGAGATGAATTATGTTGTTACAAGTAGCAGGGATATGCAACAAAGCCACTTGCGGTTACAGCGGCTACAACTGGACGATACAAAACATAAGAGTGATTTCGGATAGATGTAGGCATATTTTCATTTCTTTTTTCTGAATTGTCTTAAACTTAGCCGCGTTGGAATCTGTGAGAGCTGCTGATGGAATGGATGTAGACCATCCAAATTAAAAACTGGATAATCAGTAATCTACTCCAGTCTGGTCACCCAGACGACAACCAGGAACACACTGAGGCTGTGAGTGACTATCATGATGTCACCAGTGTCAACCAAAGCCTTCATGCAGTGGGGACCACTTTCATCCCGCAGGATCATGACAGCGAGATTTAACTCCAAAGAAATGAAGGAAAGAAGGTCACAATTGTCCAAAGCGATACATAGTGCTGCAAACAACGCGGAACAAGAGAAGAAGGACGATTTCTATAGACAAATACAAAAAGCAGTGGATAACATAGTCGAAATGGCGACATTAGAATCCTAATTTGCGATACGAATGCCAGCTAAACTTGGGGCAGATAATAAAGGAAGAGAATTCATTATCGGTCGAGAGGCTCTCAATGAAATCATTGGCAACGGAGAACTCTTTTCAGACTTCTATAAACTTCAATGATTAGTGACTGAAGGTGGTGTGCATTAGCACAAAGATATACACAAGGAACCATTTGTTCCACCTAACAGATAAACCAGCTACAACCATCAGAGAAAATCAGGAGATACAATGCAGCATCAATGGGGAAAACTGCATGAAAGAACACGGCAACTCTCTGGAATTGATAATGAGAAACATCTATCTGCACAGATGCCCTAGGAAGGATGAAGAGGCAAGATAAGAAATGACTTTCTACAAACACCTGGAAGCTATTAGAGGTCAGAGGATTGTTGAAACAGAATTTGAACTAATGCAAGCATAGACAACGGAAGAATAAGCAGAGGAGGTCAGTCTACAAGGCGCCGAATAAAGAGGTGAAGAAGAGTGTTAAATAAGATAAAAGACAGACCAGCAATACACTGCCAACTGAAGCGGATCAGGTGGCAGGTATCACAGACCCAAGAACAGTGTATCAGTGAACCAGGTGCTTATCGTTTAAGAGATCAGCACATACAAAACCAATGGAAGACAGCGAAAAGACTTGAATTACCAGGTAGTAAAATCATAGAAAATAATGGGCTGGTCTCTTTACAGGACTCCTAAACTGACCACTACCTACATCTTGTCCAGGGACAGATCCAACAGTCACAGTAATGCCAGTGAACATCAGCCATCCAACAAAAGCCGACATGCCGAATGTTATGAAGCTACCGAAAGCCCCCTTGGAAAGCCAGCAGGAACAGGTGGAATTCCTCCTGAAACACTGAAAACCGTCTAAGAGATCTCAGAGTATATCCTCACAACAATATTGCTGAAAGTTTGAAGGTGGGAAAAGTACCAACTGTTTAGAAGAAAGGCCATATTGTTAAATCGCTAAAACTGGCACAGAATCAGGCTACTGTCCACGCCAAGCAGAATACTAAGTCGCGTCATCCTGGAGAGAATAAAAAAATGGTCTAGATGCAAAATTGCACCCGGAACATGTTGGGTTCATGAAAAGCAAGTTCTGTGCTGGTCAAGTTGCAGCTCTGCACATCATCATAGAAAAGAGCAAAGAATGGCAGTCAAATCTCCATCTAGAAGCCACAGACTAAGAAAAGGCCTACGATGATGTTCATTGTGAAGTGGTTTCCACACTGCTTGAACTCTGAGGGGTTATCCAAAAACCCTAATTAACTCTATTCAACAGATATACGATAATGTCACATGTCAAGTAATCCACAACGAAAAACTTAGCGAAGCCTCTGAAACGAATGCATGGGTAAGACATGGCTGCCTACTGCCACGGATTGTCTTCTTAATTGTGGTGAACTGGAGGCTGCATAGAACCGTTCGTGAGTAGCGAGAAGACGAGATACATTGGACTGACAAGAAGACTCTTGAAAATCTGTACTTTACCGGTGAATTATGTTTGCCAATCTTTATCAACGGAATAAAATTGAAGGTAGACAGCGTCGTTTCAACTACAGCCAACCAACACGGAAAAGTAAATAAAGGTCAAGGTCGGAAAAGCAAGAAATTACTTCGTTGCTCTGACAGCAATATGGAAATTTGCTACATTGAGAATTAGCAACAAGATCCGGAAGTTTATCAACACTAATGTCAAGTGAGTGCCTCTATATGGTCCGCGACTACAGATTTAATCGACAGTTGCCAACTTCGCTCTTTCGTGAAGATTCGCTGATTGTTCAGAATGGATTGGGAACAGGGAACACTGTCATGAAACACAAAAGAAACCAAATATGCGGACAAAAACAGAGTTGGATTTGACATCAACTGAGGAGATTGTTGAGAGCTATCACACGTCAGACACATAAATGAAAACCGAGTGAGAGACAACAGTTTGGCATTGGAGGGTGATACAGGGAGGTCACATTTATGATCATTGCCGCTATGTTTACACTATGGCGTTTCAATTATTATGTGAATGAAAGCTCATTAGGGTCTATCTAATTAAATTATGCAATCCATACAGAAAATTCAAACATTATGAGAACTATACATAGTGTTGGTGTGTGTGTGTGTGTTACACATTAGTAGTAAGTACTTGATGTGTAACAGTTTAAGTAAACTGCTCATGGACTTTGTCTGTTCACAGCGTGCATGTGTAAACAAGTACTTGAAGAATATTGATTTTATTAACAAACAGGTTGATATGAATATTCACTTGTAAAGATTAGAAGATGCATAGATACACACTGTTGACACTTTGAAATTTATCAGTGAGACAAAGAATAAACAATACACGACAATAATTACACGGGACTGTAGTATAAAGCGTTCGACTGTTTGTTAAAGTTAGACAGTCAGTCAGACAAACAGAGAGAGATTGGAAAGAAAACGTCCACTGCTTGACTCAGAGAATCCTAACCCATCCGAGTCATGAAAATTACACAAATAATCCTGAGTTACAAAATACTGCTACTATCAATATTCTTATGTTCCAGGACCAGTTCAAAGACTGTAATTCCCAAAGTGAAACAATATGTTACGCAATATCATACATGTAGAATAAGCAAATCCTTGGACATTAAGCATGACTACACTTCATGTTATATTCTGGAGGATGCATTGAAACGTTTTGTATTACGATTAGAAAGAACACAAGAAGAGAGTTTCTCATTATTGCCAGATTCTTGCAAAGTGACCACTATTCAAATTGATATATCTGGAGGATGTAATGAAGAAAGTGTAAAATTATGGCCATCTGATTCAATGAAGGAATCATGTAGGTGGAATATACTTTAGATCTCTAAACAGCAATCATTCTGTTATCCAGATATGGTGAATATCTCCGAAGGCATTATACACATTCAATCAGATGAAATATGGGGAACATTACACGCTTTGGAAACCGTGTTACAACTGGTGTCAAGGAGTGCAAACTATCAGGTATACGATGTAGAAATGTGCTCATTTTACAATAATAGAATGCGATATATGAGTGTAGCATTGAAGATTCCCCTCGATTTCCACACAGAGGAATGATGATCGATACAGCCAGACATTATCTAAGCACTGAAACAATCAAGAATGTCATTGTAAGTTGCCTTCCATCACCTTTTGTTATGTAACTCATAATTCCTAATTTAAAGGCTGCATTATCAATGGTGAAAATGAATGTATTACACTGGCATATGACAGATGATGAATCCTTCCCGTATGTTTCTTCAGTGTATCCTGAATTGTCTTCAAAGGTGAGAAATTCTCAGTCGAATGCATTATCATCACTGTTTCATTGTGATTGTATTTTCAGGGAGCGTATCATGCACATTCGTATGTGTATGAAAGGGATGAAATTGATTCACTGGTAGAATTCGCTCGATTACATGGTGTTCGGGTGATTGTTGAATTCGACTCACCAGATGAGGAGTATTTCGACTGTAGTGTGATAACTTCCTATTATTCACCTTGTGATTATCACTAACACTCATGCTCTCTCTCTCTCTCAGATTATTTCAGTCAGAGTTGTGTTGTGTGGTCAGTGTGATGATGTCGAATATTTTGGGACTTTGGTGGTATTAGACGAGGCAGGTGACGGCTGATACTGTTACTTGTGTATGCGAAGAGAGAATGATTGATGGTTTGTTCTCGAGCTTATGGACTTGATGGAGGGTCTATAAGAGGTGTAACAGGATATTCGTTGGATGCTACCAAATATTTCACACATATTGACAGATGCAATTATGAATTCTGACCAAGATCTCATGGAATACTTGCGCAAACATCAGGCACCATGTGGAAGGTAGTCATATGTAAAAAACGTCTGCACCTGTATAAATCTCCTGAAACATTGAATTAAACAATTGCAAACTTGCATTCGTCAAACTCATTCATAATAGTGGCGGCGAATAATTTCACACATGTTGGTGAATGTTAACAATTTCAACTACATCAAAATTATTAGAATATAAGGGTGTAGTACCATCGATGAGAGTTATCTGCCATAATGTACATTCTGAATGTGTCAGGAGACTGCTGATTTTGTGTATTAGCCACATCACTTGTTGTTGGTTACATAAAATTCACTATCGATAAAATTTTATTTTGATAAATCACAGTGTTATACAGTAGAGTAATACTTACTTATGACCACATTTCGAGCACAACTTATTGCCACTCCTAATCATATCAAGGCACTACTTCCAAGAAAAATTTTGCCTCATTTATATACATGTGTGGAATTGATGATTAGACATTTGAATAAAAATCAGTATGGGATAATGTACATTTAGAATTATTAATATGAGTGTTATTGATTAAATATAATCAGATGGGAAATAAGACGAGTGTTTTTTATAGTCATAATAAGTAAATTGTTAGAATGTTTTGATGTACGTGAATTGAAATAGAATTTTGAGATTATTTATTATCCTCCTCTGATTTGACCGAATGGTGGTAATAATATCTTCCATATCTCTGGTATTTGCACTGAGTCACTTCTGTTGCATGTGTTGTGTGTAGACTCGATGAACCAGACAGGATTCAGTAATCAATCTCTCTCGCCACCTACCTACATTACTTCTTAGAATTTTAACCCTCTCTCACCCTATCGTGTGATTGTGTGTTAATGAATGGAGTGAAATTGGTGAACTTTTGTCTAAATTACTTATCTTCTCGGGAACAACCATTCTTATCTTAGCTAAATTCTTATGTGCCGAAATCTGACTACCCTCTACCTACTATTTTGACCTACATACTTGACTCAACTCACAGTCATTGAAGGGTATTTTATGAATTATATTATTTTGTTCAATTGGTTCAATAGGTCCTTTTAGCCTACTGAGCTTGTCCTACCTGAGGGAGATTGTAGGTTTGAATGCTACCCTAATGTCTGCTTAATGGAGAATCCTACTTAATGAGGGTCCCAGATGCCCCTCCTTATATGGTATAACACTGAATGACTTATATTCTATCTTATTTTATCTTATCTCCACTGCTTTTATTTTGCTTTTGACCTTTTCTGATCTTCCTAATGAATTTTATAGGATACTTAGTTACTTGACACCAACGCTTCTTCTTCTGTCTGTTTCATTTGATCGTTTAGATCTTTCTTTGTGCTACTTAGTGATGTTATTACTCAGTTTGTTAGACACCTAACTAAGTCAGTGTTTACAGACAGCGGATGAGACGAATTAAAGTCTAAATATCTATTAGCAGAGTGAGTTGGCTTTTCATAAACTCTAATTAGTTTGCAGTTTACCTTTTTTCTGTTCGTTTGATTTTATAATCTAACATCGTGGCGGATTCGCCTTGTTCATTTTCTGATTCAAATGTAAATTTTATTCCCTTCGCTAGTGAGTTTATGTGCGTCAAGAAGCTGGAGATAAGTTCTGTTCCTAACACTGTGAAAGTGTCATCCACATATCCCCACTGATGCATATATAAATGAAATGAAAACGTGGTCATCAGTTAATATTACTGTATAACACATAAACTGTGTGATTTATCAATATAAAATCTTATCTATAATGGAGTTATACTCTACCACCACAGCGCCCGAGTTTTATACTTATATCATTGATAAAATTCACTCATGCAACTAAAGTTTAACTGACAGTCAGTCAGGGTTGAACTGCAACTTGTATTCGTGAATGATTGCTCAAACTATAGAAGCACTTCAATCGATTAGTTGATAAAAATCTGCACAAATGTGAGCAGCGTATCTATCAATTCCTCAACTCGAATCTTCGTTTCGACTCTTTTAACTGTCACAAATGAGAAATAACTGTGTTGATATTTATGAAATGCGCATACTTATCTTTAATTTGATTATTGTATGAGGGGTGACCCTGAGAAACATCTTGCCATCCAACTAATATTTTGACACCATGTCATCGTTTAACCAATAATATTTTTGGCTGATAGAAACGTCATAGACGAAGGCCTCAAATGGTTCACTAAAGGGATGTTCATATTACTTAAATTCAGTTCACTTTATAATTCGAAAACTCACACCTTTTGTATTTACCAACAGTATATGCTAAGTTGAATGATATTTGACTCTAAGCAATTAATGTATGAAATCCAACGAAGTCCGTTGATGACTAAATTTTCGTATAAAAAATGAACAAACCAATATTCACGTCTATCCATCTTTCTGTCTTCCAGGTCACACTGGATCATGGGGCAAAAGTCATCCTGAAATACTCTCTGATGTGTCATATGATCAAGGATTAATCAATCCAGTCGATGAGAATGTCTGGCCATTTTTATCAAATTTGTTTGGGGAAGTATTGAAAGTATTTCCAGACAACGTTTTACATTTAGGTGGAAGTAATTATGACAGGCATCCATGGTAAGTTTAGAGATTTTTACTGGTATCAAATAAGTCATTTATGTGCATATTTTGGAAGAATTTCTTGTGAATAGACGCAATGTGAATGAGATGCTGCATCTGGTGTAAACTGGTAGTATGAATAGTTGTCATCTAAGTTAATATTCCTTCTTGTCATTAGCCTGTATCTCACATCCAGTGTTTAAGTTCGCTACATTTACAAAACGTTAATATTAAAGAACTGACGATTCTTTTTAATCCATGACATTATTTTTGTGCAGATATGCGGACTGAGAGGCATCTGTAGTGATTTTAATTCCATAGTTAATCTTAAGCTAAGCGTTCCCGCATGAGGTGTGTTAACCACATCGATGGCTGTTGAAAAACTTGAGAAGAATTATGATGAACATTAAGTCGGAATTTCATTTCTCCTGTCGACACTCAGAGTCTTCTGGTATGGTGTTACTTCATTATTATCATCATTATTCCCACGTGTTCCCATTCGAGCATAAAGTTTCAGCCGCACGTCGCCATCACCTCTGATTCTCTGCAGTGTTTCGTTTGCATTGTTATACAGTTGCCAAAAGACTCCAATTCCTTCCTCACCCGATATCATCCAGATCATCTTCAGAAACCCAACTCATCGTCCAATTCGAATTCCACTCGAAAACCATTCACATCTACCCAACTGTCTCCTCACCGTATGCTAAGTCCATCCATATTTGGTTCGGCATGTTTATCGGAGGATTTTACCATGAAGTGACATTTTATTTTTTTATTTTTGATTACAGCTTGATTCCACACCGTATTTTTGGTACAAGTATGGAATTTTCAGCATGGATATCAGTAGCCCAAAATTCGCAGGCCAACCATAGATATCAGGTGTGCGTCGGCGTGGGCTCGAACCCCGGACCATGTGCATGGTCGGCGAGAGTCCTAACCACTGTGCCACCGACGCACAGTTAGAGAACCATTGGAAAACCAACAGAGAGTACTGAGCAGTTGTTTCGTCCGAGTTCCAGGCCCTTCGGAAGTACGCATTCCTCATGGGGGGTTACAAGGCTAGTGCGCCCATAGACCATTAAACCACTGGGATCCTATCCAATGGTCCATGAACTCTGCATATTTGTTCGGCAATAGCTTCTTATCCGATTCTCTTCCAGAGTTCGTTGTAGCTAATCCTTTCCTACCGGTTAGCTGATCTTTAGTACGGAGTCAGTGAAGTGAGTAGTTCTTTATAAATATCTGCAGTAGCCTGTTGTGAATGATTCTTGAGACGGTCGAGTCAATTTTCTGGACCATATAGAGGCACACATTTGACATTAGTGTTATAAATTCGCATCTTGTATCGCATAACCGGCCACCTCTGACAGTATCCAGGTATCGAACAAAAGTATCAACTATATTTTCATGACACAGATTTACATGAACATCTAATCCAATGCATGATTACAACTTAGACAGTTAGGAAACATCCACTCTGGTTGAAATAAAATTTTTGTAGAAGTTTATTTTGACAGTGAAGTTGATTCTGTATCCTAATCATAGCAAGGACGTGTCGGTGATCTTCTTTCGGTAGTACGACCGTACATCAAGACTCTACAAGACATGTGGTTCTACCTCACATCAGTGCCTAGATTTAGTCAGAAATAATCAACATGACTATTCGGTAACAGTGGGACATGAATCATCGAATGTTCTCGGTATCATTTCGATTGCATGGTGTTGACTCGATGATGTACTTCCTCTTTCACTTGATCGTTGTTCATTGAATCAGCACAAGACTCGAGAAGTAAAAACTCCGCAAAATCTATGCCTGATATATGGAGAATTGTAATATAAAAGAACAGGGAGTCAGGCTATCTGAAGAAAGGAAGTTAGAATGTTGTGTAGATGCATTAATATGAGGGTTATCATCAATAAATTCTTCGCGAAATATCAGTCAATGATTATTACTATTTTACAGTGTGTCATATGAAATAAATTTTAAGGGGACTTTATAGCGGGCTGTGTAACGGGACACATATTAAAATAAAAATCCAAATTGATGAAATAATATTGCAGTTGTATATTATTAAAATACAGTTAACAAGTTATACAAATTAGTGGTCACTTAAAGTTCACTGCTAGAAATTAATGATATAATCCACAGAAGCGTTCAATGCTGGAGTTGTGTTTACTAGTAGAGGCTGTCCGCCGGTTGTAGAATAGTCTTCGGATGAGGATGACAGGTTCCCACAAAATCCGAAGGTGAAGCAAGTAGACAGTATGGTCTAGTGAGAAGACGAAGCGTTGAACAACAACTAATTCACCTCATCACAGTACCGCACAATGGCTAGTAAACATACTAGAACCAGTCAGAAAGCAAATCTCCCGCCACTCACTTCGAGACTCCTTCGATTTTGTCAATTCCATTGAAAACGTCAGCGTTTCCAATCAAACCATGTTCTCACTAGATGTGGTATCACTGTTTACAAACGTCCCACTAACCGAAACAATATGCTATATATGTGAATATATTGATTCAAAGGAGATGAACATTGGTATCCCCACTGACTATTTGAAGGAACTCCTATTAAGATGTACTCTAAACGTCCAATTCACTTTCAATAATGAAATATATAGACAAAAAGATGGTATAGCTATGGGCTCACCACTCGGCCCGCTGCTTGCAGATATTTTCATGTCAAAACTAGAAAATACACACCTAAAGAAGATAATAGATAACTTCGGATTCTACAAGAGATACGTGGACGATACTTTTATTATCGCCAATAATGAGGAAAATTTGGAGAACATATTGGACTTCTTCAACAGTTGCCATCCAGCAATCCAGTTCACACTAGAGAAGGAGTCCAACGCAACAATATCTTTTCTGGACGTGCAACTAGCAAGACGCGAACAAGATGGGACACTCAAAAGATCCATTCACAGAAAACCGACATGGAATGGACAACTCATCAGCTTTCACAGTTGGGTGCCTATATATACAAAACGAAATCTGATCCGCTCACTGACTCACAGAATCCACAACATTTGCAGTCCGGAAACTATAGAAGAAGAGCTGAAGACCCTGAAAAGAATCCTTCTTGAAAACGGTTACCCGGAACGTTTCATCACAAAAGCTATGAAGCCGAAAACACAAAAACCATCCATGCTTACTGCTCCCAAGAAACTTCTCTATTTGAATCTACAATTCAACGGAGATTCTTCAGCAGAAATACTTAGAAACCGCCTGTGCCGTTCACTGAAGAAAACCTTCTTCGCAGCGGAACTCAGACTAACTTTCTCTACGAAACCAATGATTCGCACGAACGTGAAGGATAAGCTTCCACTGGGGGCCTCATCAATGTGCATCTACCAATTCACCTGCTCATGTGGAGCTAGGTATGTCGGCCGTACCCAGCGTTTGCTATCCAAACGAATCAGCGAACACTTACCTTCATGGTTTTATAAAGGAGAAAGAAGATCCCCCCGCCACAGCTCTATCCTAGAACACTTGATCGAATCCGGACACCAAGCAAACCCACAAAACAACTTCTCAGTTATCTACACAATACGTGGAAATCTTGCCAAAAGAGTACGAATTAAACTTCTTCAAACTGCAGAAGCAATGGCAATTCACATATTGAATCCTGAACTCTGCATACAAAAGAAGTTTGTTCAGTCACTAAATCTACAATGGTCCTGATCTATCTTAACACCAAATACGTAATTTTGTCTTACCTCTTTCTTCTTTGTTTGTCTATTTCTTAATTGCATTATTTTCTACCCCCACCCTCTATTAAATCTCTACGCTCATGACGACTGTTGCTAACTCGATTTTCGTTTATTTTTAAGTGAATTCTACTCAGCTTATTAACTTAACTCTCATTCATTTTCAAGTGAATTCTACTCAGATTATTAACTTGACTCTCATTCATTTTTTCATTGAACCCTACCAATTAGATTACGTCACCCAACCTACTTTTGTAACTTTATTTTAGTTTCTAACCGATTAACGCCTTCAAAATTACGTAATCTGTTTGTCAAAAACTAACAATTGCATTAACACATCTTTGGAAATATTCCTTTTGTTGCCAAGACAAATTACTATAAATTTGCGATTTGTACAGCTTGAGAATGATATCGCCGAAAAGAGTAACTCTTTGCTGAACACCTTTTCTTTTCTACAACAAACTGTTTGTTAGATTGTACTTGAAAGTTAACGGTTCCAGAATCCAAAAACCTCATCTAGCACGGAATTATATCCTACCAAACTGTTCAAATCCTACTCTCACATTAATATTGCAAATCCCGTTGTCCACCTCGTTATTGTTGATAGACAGGAAGTATTCATGTCTAACGAAGAACCAGATATGCATTCTCTCTCTGCTTCCGTCACAATTACTCTATGAAGTGAGGAATCTCGTCATCATTCGGGATCCTGATATATTGTCAGACTAGAAATGGTTTCATTGTCTCATGATTACACATTTGCCATCCATATTCCCCTAAGTCTGCCAATCTATCACCTTTATTCAAAGACGAATATCAATGAACTCATTCATCTTTTAGAGGATCACAGGCATTTCTAACAAGAAATATGTTGTTCTATTGTGTATTTAGGCAAGAAGACGCCAACATCCAAGAATTCATGAAACAGAAAGGATTCGATCAAGACTACAATAAATTAGAAAATTATTATTTTGAACACCTCACAGAAGTTATTCAGAATATTACTTCAGGTTCGCATAGCGTAACACCTGTGGTATGGCAGAATGTATTTGAGAATGGATTCCGAGTAAGTATCCCTCAGTTTGCGATTATTTTTCCACATCTGATTCACACATCGAAGTAACTAAAGTAACAGAAATAATAATAAACTTGGTTGCAGTTTATTTGGGAATACTTTGAAAAATATATTTTGAGGTGGAAGGTTAACAGAGTTATTAGATGGAGGGAAACATCAGATATCTGATAACGTGAATGAATCCTTGTTGCACCATGAAAAACTCTATTCACAGAAAGTTCACTATTTTATTTTTTTGCTTTCCCAGTGGAACACTGGACTTCAAGCTAGAGCTTTGAAGCTTCAGCAGCAGTGGTGTTTGTTTATTTTTACGGGATGGGTTTGCTAAGCTCATGACCAACTTTCTCACTTCAACAGTTTTATTACTGGCTTTTGGTGAGATAAACGAGTGAGTCGGCCAAGAGATGGAACCCTGAACTTCTCTTTATCAAGACATTCATATCCTTTTCATGCGCCATTAATTATTCTAGTTAAATTGCTTTGCATTTATTCATTTACATGATGTCACGAATTCGAGATGATCCGGAATTAGAAAACTGAGTACCTGCATGCATGGTTGTAGTGCCCCTTTTGTCTTGGAGTGTGCATCACTTTAATTTATCAATCTCGCTGAACTTGAATGGTGATCTGTATGAATATACTCACTGCCTACCATAAAATGATTGCAATACACTGAGATCGGCTGGATGTTTAGAGGTTAATATGTAAAAATACTGATCTTATTTCATTGAAGCAACTATTATATTAACCTTAAGTCACAGATACATGTAAGGTATTCATCTGATCAGTAGTTAACTATTGTGTGGATTCACACATGGGAACTAATGAAAAAGAGGTTCGCTGTGATTAAACTGTATCTCATATTCTTCAAATTCTGCTACAATACTGGAACTATGACTTGTTCCATTCATTCGATAGTTAATGTTCCATTGCTAATCTCAAATATTAACTAACCCTTTGAATGTTTCATTGCAGACAACAAATTAGTGGTTATCTCAGTGTAACTCAACTACACTTAGGGCTATCCAGCATAGGACAAGGGTATTCTGAGTGTATCCTTAGCTGTACTTCATTCTTTGACTGTTTAAAGAAGGTTGCTTAATATGACTTGTTAGCAACGAATGTGCAAATGGAAGCTACCGTAATGGCTAATACTGACGCTAACTAAAACAACATTAAAAAATAGCACCGACACGCACCTAGGTGAGAGGATTCGGAACAATGACAAGATCGTTTTTTCTGCCTCAACAATAATCTCTCACACTTTACAGTGATTCTGTGTATATACACGATGATGGACACAAAACTCACTGATAAGTTGGAAGTATAAAAACCAAAATTAACACATTCAGAATTTACACCAGATGGAATTTTCCGTTTCCGTTCATGAAAACCAAACAGCAAAGATTTGTGATTGGTAATCCCGGGTGAAATTATTGACTGAACTCTCGATGAAATCAACCAAAACGCGTGAGTTAGATGTAAAATCTAGAACACATGATTTAACCTAAGCACAGTATCATAATTATTATTATTATTGCTCCCTTGGGTTCCTAGTGGAACATAGGGCTTCAACTGCACGTCTCCATTTTCTTCTGTCTTCTGCTGTACTTTTCGCCTGCATCCATGTTAGTCCATATTCTTTCAACTCCTCTTCACACGATCTCCTCCATGTCACCCTTGCACTGACGTCCCACACGCCGCTTCCCTTTCGGGTTCCACTCGAGGGCTTGACGCGCGATGTCACCCAGCGGTCTCCTCAGCGAGTGTCCGATCCATCTCCACTTTCTCCTGCATATTTGTTGGTTAGCGATTGGTTCTTGCTTTGTTTGTTCCCATAATTCCTTGTTGGTGATTCTTTCCGGCCATCTGATCTTCAGTATAGAGCGAAGACAGTTGTTAATAAAGGTCTGCAACAGGCTGTTGGAAATATTCTTTGTGACCCACCCGCCAAGTTTCTGATCCGTATAGAAGAACTGACTGAATTGACGTTTGTATTGAAAATCCGAATTTTGTTGGTGATGCTGAGTGACGAAGATTTCCAGATTGATTTCAGGTTGATGAATGTGTTTCTCGCCTTCCCGATTCTCGCTCGATTTGACATCCTCGTCCGTTCCGCCTGTAGTTGAGACAATGCTCCCTAGATAAGTGAATGAAGTAACCTCTTTCAAATCCCTCCCGTTGATGGTGATTGACGTTGGATGTTGTTGCTGTTGTTGGTTGGTTATTTTCATAACCTCCGTCTTGTCTATGTTCACCTGGAGTCCTGTCTTCGCCGGCTGCTTCTTCGACCAGTTTGTCGGTTTTCGCTTGTAAGTCTTCGATTGTGTGTGACATCAAACATAAATCATCCACGCGAAATCCAGGTCTTCTAGGTTCTTCACGTCGGTCCAGGATATTCCTGTCTTCTCGTTTCCCACTGTCTGACGCATAATCCAGTCAGTCCACCACAATTAGGAATATCATTGGTGATAGTAAGCACCCTTGTCTGACTCCTGTGTTTACTCCAAACGCCTCGCTGAGTTTTCCGTTGTGGATCACTTGACATGTGCCGTTGTCGTACAGCTGTTGAATAAGGTTGATGAATATTTGGGGTACGCCATAGTACTCGAGTAATTTCCAAATTACTTCACGGTCAACGCTGTCGAAGGCCTTCTCAAAGTCTATAAAGTTGAGGTAGAGGTTTGATTGCCATTCCATGCTTTGTTCTGTGATGATGATGCGTAGAGTTGCAATTTGGTCAGTACATGATTTGCTGACTTTCCTGAATCCAGCTTGTTCTGGTCGGAGTTCTGTCTCCAGTGCGTCCTTTAATCTCTCCAGGATGATGCGACTCAGGATTTTACTTGGCGTCGATAGGAGCATGATTCCTCGCCAGTTCTTGCAGAGTCGTAAGTCGCCCTTCTTTGGTAGTTTCACGAGGTAACCTTTCCTCCAGTCAGTAGGCACCTTTCCCTCCTTCCAGACCTTTTGCAATAATGGAGTCAGCATGTCTGCTGTAGTCTCTGGGTCTGCTTTCAGTGCTTCAGGGGGTATTCCATCTGGTCCGGCTGCTTTTCCAGCTTTCAGAAGCTTGATTGCGTTCAAGACTTCAGCTCTCGTTGGAGGATTGGTGTCAACTTGCAGTTGTGTGCGCGCTGTTGTTGGTATTTCTGGACGGGTTGCAGGTGATGGTCGGTTCAAGAGTCCTTTGAAGTGATCCGCCCATTGTTTAATCTGTTTTTCTTCCTTGGTAATTGGGTTCCCTTGGCTGTCTTTTATAGGTTTCGCTTGTGTTGATCTCTTCCCGGATAGAGATTTGGTTATCTGATATAGTGTCCTCAGGTCCCTTTTGCCTGCTGCCTTTTCAGCTTCAGTGACCAGATTGTCGTAGAATCGTCTTTTGTCCTTCCTAGCACTCTTCTTCACTTCTTTGTCCAGTGCTTTGTAAGTTGAGCTCATCGTCTCCTTCTCCTGTCCGTCCTTGCATTGAATCATTTTCTCTTTCACCATTCTCCTCTCTTCTATTAATTTCCAAGTGTCCGTTGAGAGCCATTCCTTGTCTTGTCTCTTCTTTCTTCCTAGAACCGTTGAACACGTTTCGTTGAGAATCGCCTTCAGAGACTTCCAATGTTCTTCCACGCATGATTCTTCAGTGATGTCGCGTAGTGTTTCCTGCTTTGCTCTGACAGTTGCAGTGAAAGTGTCTTTTGTGGTTGTGTCCTTCAGTTTCTGAGTGTTGAACTTGCATTGTGGCCTATCCCCAGCTATCCTCGAGGCTTTTAGTTTCACCTTGAAAGTCCCTTCTACTAGATAGTGGTCTGAACCCACATCTGCTCCTCTCCTTGACCTTGTGTCCAGTAGGCTCCGTCTCCACTTTCTTGAAATTGAGATGAAGTCTATTTGATTCTTGGTGTTTCCATCTGGTGAAATCCATGTCGTCTTGTGTATATCCTTGTGTTTGAACACACTACCACCAATCACCAAATCATTGAAGGCGCAGAAGTCTGAGAAGAGTTCACCATTGTCGTTCATTTCGCCGAGGGCCTCACGACCCATGGTGAGTTCTCTTCCTGTGTTGTCTCCTCCCAGCTTCGCATTCATGTCGCCCATCAGGATTTTGATATCGCCATTTGGGACGTTGTCCATTATTGCTTGTAGTTGTCTGTAGAACGCCTCCTTCTTCTCTTGTTCTGAGACGTTTGTAGGCGCATAGCATTGAATGACTGTAACTTTCCTTCCTTTTGAGTTGAACCTGGCTGTCATTATCCTGGAGGAGATTGGTTCCCACTGCATGAGAGCTTTGGTTGCTGTTGGTGACATCATGATGGCCACTCCCTCGGTGTGCTCATGGTTGTCCTCTGGGTGGCCGGAAAAGATTACTGTCTATCCAGTAGGTAGCTGGCACCTTCCAGTTCCGTTCCATCTGCTTTCGCAGATTCACAGTATCATAGTGGGAAAGATTAAATAATACAGACTAAGCGGAACGAACAAACGATATTGAAACACAGAAGAAACAAGGTAGATAACAAAAGATTCGTAAAAATAAATGATGGAAGAAGCGTATTAGTGTTATGATTCCCTTGGGTACCAAGTTGAACATACTGCTTCAACAACACAACTTCACTTTCTTCTATTTTCTGCCATTCTCTTCAGCTGGGTTCACGATTCCCTAAGAGCCCTCATCCACTCTTCCTCGCCACACGAACTCTTCTATGTCACCCTCACACCGACGACCTACTCGTTGTTTGCCATACAGATTCCACTCTAGTGATGGTCTGCATTTCGCGTGATGGCATTTGACAGCCTTCTCAGTGTATCCTCAATCCAAATCCGTTTTCTCCTTTCACACTAGTTGAGAAATGCTCTTGGTTGGTTCGTCGCCAGCCAGAGTTTCTCCTTGCTAATTCTTTCTGGTTGACTTGCCATCTGATATTCACTATGGAACCGGCCAGCAAAGGGAGCAGCTGTTGATAACACTCTGTAACTTGTTAGAATTCCTTTGCGTGACT